AATTTAAACCAAAAGTAGTATTTATTTAGATTATCGCTTTAAGACTAAGTATTTAAACTAGCGTTATTACAAAATTGCAAACATTTATTTTAGTGACAATTATAATCAATCTCTCATATATTATCTTGCATTTATATACTTTAAATTACCGATTTAAATAAACAAATTCAACATTTATTTACCCATGCATGAACATCTCCTATATAATATTGCATTGATATACTTTGAAATACTTATTTAAAAATAATTATTGGGCATTATCTCATTCGCGCAAAGCGCGTAAAAAAACTAGTAATTTAATAAGAGTAAAATAGAGTACTAATTATGCCAACTTTGATTGGGATGATGTTCGAACCTAAGACTGAGTAAGTTAACGGTGAACTAACAGAAATTAACGGAAAAGAACATTGGGAGGTAGTTCTCAATTCAATTTGTTGTGTGATTTGAATACTATCTTTGTCAACAAATCTCTCAAGTAGTTAATATGATTGGCTTTATTAATTATATATTTTTTTTCATGGTATTAATAAAATACTTGGTAAATAAATATATAACATTATTTTGTATTATAACTTTGATATTTAATTAAAAAATAGTGCACAAAAAAGATAATAAACAATGTAGTGAATATAATCAATTGATGAATTTGTACATTGGAGAAATATAAAGACAATATAACTAATAAAATTATTTCTCTTAACTAATTTATCGATAATGAATAAATTTTTTTAATAAAGACATTGTAGGGACAATGTAACAGATATAATCAATTGATGAATTTGAATTTAAATAATTTTTATATTGGAGAAAAATAAATAAAATATAACTAATGAAATTATTTCTCTTATTTAATTTATTGATAATGAATAATGTTTTTTTGAATAAAGATATTGTAGACACATAATTCTAAATTAAAGAAATGCATATGTATTATTTTTTGTTGGGATGGGGTTCGAACCTAAGACCTTTCTTATAGAGTACTAATTATGTCAACTTTGATTGGGATGAGGTTCGAACCTAAGACCTTTCTTATTGAAATCAATGAGTAAGTTAACGGTGAACTAACAGAAATTAACGAAAAAGCTAATATTTAACGAAAAAGTTAACGGAAAATCATATTCATTAAGGATAAATTAGGAAATCTTAAAGGAAAAATTAAAATCTGATCAATCTGAGCCATTCATTTGATTAAAAAATTTGACCGCCATTTTTTCTACCCATTATAGGCCTAACTCTCTTGGGCTCTTATTAGTATAGTATAGTAGATAGATAGTAGATATATATATATATATATATATATATATATATATATATATATATATATATATATATATATATATATATATTTATTTATTTATTTATTTATTTATTTATATTTCAATTTCTACTCGCAAATTATTGTGTGAACGATGGTCCACATAATTGTATGTTTCATGAATATCAAATACATTTTTAATATATTAAAAATACATTATTTTTATATTGAAAGTACCTTACATACATATATAATGTACCCTTAGTATATTTAAAATATACTTTTTATTGCATGCAACCCCAAAGTTCATAAGTTTGAAATTAATATATGGCATAGCTTGGCGGCCTAATATTTAAGATTGTTGATGTACATATTGAGGACTACGGAGACAAAAATGCGTTATTCGTGGATTCATCGGATACTATCCAACAACACTCTCCAACTTAATTGACGTGAAGTAGGCTTAGTAACATTAAGATTATATTCTCAAATTATTAGTTCTCAACTTTTATTGATTACACACTTAATTCGATAGTATTGGAAGAAAAAATCAATGTTCGAACTAAGATTATGATTTTGGTTTTTAAAGGTCAATTGTATGTTGCTACATCTAGAGTTAGAAATCTCAAAGGTCTAAAAATTTTGATCTGTGGTGACTCTAAAATTGTAATTCAATTACTATTGTAGTTTACAAAGTTCTTAAAAATTTGTAATATTAAATACTATGTACTAAATTTTTAATATAGTTTAAGATTTGTAGTAATCACCCACCTTAAATATTATTTTAATTGTAAATATATTTATGTTCATAATTTTATCATAGGAATTTACACATAATAATTATTAAATAACAAAAATTTTTATATATGAATAAACCTCATATAGAGTATATTTTTATAACATATTTTCCGTGCATCGCACGGGACAAATACTAGTATATATATAGGCCTAGGATCTCATGAAAACACACTTCCCAGAGAAAATTAAACTAAACTTAAAAATCAAACAAATTGGATCTTATCAAAATTTTAAAAGAAAATGCAGTGTCACTTTTGTAATTATCGTCAATTTTATCATGCAACTTGTAACATTATACTCCGCACTTTGTAACAACGTAATGTGTATTTCTAGATAATTTTTAAAAAATTATATTTTAAACACTATGCAGTAAAAAGTGAATCCTATAAGCTTTAAATTCGAAACCTTCAGTGCACTGGACTTTCGCATTTATATATTATTATAAAGTCCAAAATATCATACTATTATTATTATTATAAATTCTAAATGACCAAATACAAATTTTACTTTTGAAAATTTATGTAACATGCTCTAAACAAACCTTAGAATTGCATAACAAAATCAATAAAATAAATAAGGGGGTTTTAAGAAAACATATTTGATTGAAGTTGGCATACAAGTTGACGATTTGTGTTGAAAGTAGAAAAAGAAGACACGCTATAATTGAAATAGAGAAGTCAAACATCAATTTTAGGTTAAAAAGAGAGGAGTAATTTTGTCTTAGAGTTCTTATATTTTTTCCTAAAATTCATGATGTTGAAATACCAAGGGAGACAATATTTCCATGAAAATGACAATAACCAAACGAAGAAATTTACTTACCTTCGGAATTATGTAAGAATTAGGTGGGAATGAAATTATAGTTCCTAATAAGTCTATTCATATCAACAAAAATAGAATTTAAATTCATACTTTATTATCTTATTATTCTTCTCTCATTGGATTATAATATTTTCTTTGTTAAAGAATTGTGAAGTATAAAATAAAATAGGAAAAATGGTCAAATAGACGCTTGAACTATAGGCAAAAGAGCAATAAGGCCCTTCAACTTTAAAAAGATACAATTAAACCCTTCAACTTGTCCAATAACAAATTTTTCACCAAAAATAACCGGTCAAAAAAATTCTGACGACATTTCCAACAACAAAAATCCAGCAACAACAAATTTTTATTTTTATTTATTTTAAAAAAAAAACTACCAGAGAAGACAACCGTTTGGTGACTATGGAGAAGGCGACCTGATCTGGTCGCATTTTTCTCCGGTAGGTTTTTTTTTTTTTTTTTTTGGTTGTTTTGGAAATTTTTTGACCGATTATTCCCTGTGAAAAATCTATTATTGAACTTATTTGACTCAAAATAACAAGTTAAAGGACGGTAATTGCACCTTTTTAAAATTGAAGGGCCTAAATGCTCTTTTGCCTATAGTTTAAAAGCCTATTTGACACTTTTCTCAATAAAATATGCTTCTATTCATTTCCAGTCGATTTTCAAAAATCATTTTTTAAATTTTTTCTGTCAGACTAATTTTTGTTAATTGCCTAATTGGAGTAAGAAAGCTTATTGATTATGTGAGTGTTAAACTTAATTGTGTCAAACTCTAATTTATAGTTATAAAGTTTAGTGTATTACAAGTATTATTATTATCATTATTAAAACTAGTAATTCACCCGCGCGATGCACGGAAAAAAATTATATTATTATAAATATAAATAAAAAATAGAAAAACTAAAATATTTTAAATTATTTAATATAATAATATTTTTGAGCTTCCATTGGTCAAGTATTTATTATTTTTATAGAATACAAAATTACAATTAAAATTAAAATTAAAATTTTATATGATTAATATAATCTCTAATTATGTGCATATTCAGATAAACTTATAGAGATAATTTACATAATTACTATGATTTATTCTTAATTGTATTTCATTTATATTATAATTTTCACAATACAAATAATAACTAAGATAATTACATTTGGAAAGCAAATTTCAAATTTTGTATGTGTAAATTTAAACTCTAATTGAACACATTCTTTATATAATTATATAATATATAGCTATTTTATTTTTCAAAAGTATATTTTTTATATGATTATATAATATATTGCTATTTTATTTTTTAAATGTTATGCTTTTTTTTTTAATATAATAAAGGATGTTGTGGCATTATTTGTAACATTAATTATTTTCCAAACCATATAGCTTTGTTATATAAAGGATAATTAATATTTGATAAGATAGAACTTCATTATAAGTTCTATGTCATTTTTTAGATAATGAACCAAATCAAAAATGAGAATTTTTCTTTTTTCTTTCAACCAAAAAAATATATTTTTTTTTTACTTTCAACCATACACAAATAATAATAATAATAATAATAATAATAATAATAATAATAATAATAATAGTAGTAGTAGTAATGTGCAAAGAAATAAGTCATTTTCTGAATTTATAAACATGCCCTTAGTTAAACCAACTTTTTAAAACATTTCTTATAATTCTTATAATTTTAAATTCAACTTTTTTTTGTGTGTTCAATAACACTTTTATGCAATTTTAAATCTACAAAATTTATTATCTATTAAAACTATTAAAACTTAACTAAATATTACCAAAAAAAATTATATTAGAAAATATTTGAGCCAAGTTTTGTTAAATGGAAGTAGTACTTACCAAACAAATACTGTACTTTATGACTGTGACCTCTAATTTAATCCCTTGACTAGACCAGTGAAATAGGAAAACAAGGAGAATAGCCTACACTTTTTTTTTTCTTTTGAAGATAGGAAGGCAAGGAGAATAGCCTACACTTCAATCATTCACTTGCTAAAAAGGCAAGTCAATGATAAAATTTTGACTGCACTTGACAGAAATCATATCCTTGGCATAAAAGAAATCATATCAACTGGAACAGATTTATTTTCTTTAGCAAACAGAAAAAAAAAATAAAAAATAAAAATAAAAATCAGCACCTTCAGAAAACACACAAAGAGAGTTCATTTATCTAAAACTTAGCAGCAAAGTAAGAGGAGAGCTATGAATACCTGATTTTCATGAAGCCTCAATAGATACTTTGGGATTTTGAATTCGAATAGAAGTCATGATCGCACTCAAAGTAACAGAGGATTCTGGTTGTCACCACTTTCAGAGTTTGGCTTAATCCAGAGAGTGGTTGGTTATTCACATGCTTTGAAAAAATAAATCAAATGCAATGCAAGAGCTCAACAGTTTTATTGATTAGCTATGATAAACCACAAGCACAGAGAGGATCAAATAGATGCATTTCCAAAAACTAAATGGAAAAATAAATTGTCTCAATGTGTACTTTCAGGAGAATGATGTATCCGACTTAAGATTACTGACCCAGATTCAATAGGCACCACTACCTCAAAAGCCTCATCAGGACAAAGCAAAGGACCACATTTAGCATCAACCAACTTCATCTCCCCGTTGCCATCGGGAGAGTGATTGTCGTCTAAAGCATTGCTTGTTGTAGTCAAGTCATCAGGCACAGCCTCATAAGATCCTTCAACTTTTGCAGGAGACTTGCTCAGCTCCAGAACAGCATTCTCCTCTGCTAGATTTGAAATCACATCCATCTCCATGCTTTCTCTTTCCATTGCAGGAATAGGTTGTTCTGGTTTCTCTACTATGTCCTCAACCATGGGGTCATCTATCTGATGATCGGTCAATATTGGGGACCCCTCTACTTTCTGAGGACTATCTGGCAGCATACCATCATGAGAACTAGGATGCATTTCCTGGGCATCAAGTCCACCGACTGAACCCACCTTCTCAACCACACAATCTTCAGAAAAGACTTTTCCTTTATCAGGTGCTACAATGGATTCATTTTGTATATTTGCAACTGAGCATCTCTCACCATTTATCACTTTAACATCCTCCCTCTCCTGCTTGTAGAGAGAAATGGCTTTCTGCAGTTCAATCACATGAAAATGTAAGGAAGCAGATCGCATGTCATTTAGAGGAACAGAAAATCAAGACGTTTGACTCATTTTTAAATCATAATCTAAATAAGAAAATGAAAACTCTTAATCTAAATCTCCTTTCAACAAAAACATCAAACTTATAATAATTTCTAGCTAGTGCAAACCAATTTAATAACTTATTGTAGGAGTTAAAACCAGAGCAAATAGCTGGGAACCAGAAGAACCATGTATGAAACAAAGAAAAAAAACACTGTTGCACAAGCCTGAATATGAACATAAAATTACTGGTAAAATGAAGAATGTACCTGAAAAACAGATTCATTTGCAGCTGCAAAAAGTGAAGTACTTGAAAATTTGCTTGGCGCCTTACCTTCTACAGGCTGCTGACAAAGGGGAAAAATGAAATAAATACAACATCTAAACTATAATTGAACAAGAAATGATGATGTATGTGTCGACTGTCGTCCTCTTACCTCCAGATACAATATTTTGGAATCATCAATATCAGCAACCATGTTTTGATCTGGAAGTAAAAGGCTTGTGCATTGTTCATACAAATCAGGTTCAGTAAGATCCGCAGAAATCTCAAGTTTGGAGAGGTAAACACGGTAAAGACAGGTGTCCTCCTTTTTTGACAACTTCGAATCACTACATGGTTCTTCAGGTATAATTTTCAAATCTTCTGATGTATTCTTCTCAACAGCATCACTTGACTGACTAATAGCCTTGCTCTCAGCCTCAAGATCAGCATGCCTTTGCTCACTCTGAGCTTGTTGAGCTGATTGGCCAGTCAAAGATTCATCTCCTGGGCCCTGTGCTGAATGAGCCTCTTTGTGGGAAGCCGATGGCAACTCCACACTAGCACTCCTGTTTGGCCCCTTCCACATATCACTAGTGTCCCAGCTCCGATTCATTGGCATGTTCCTATACTGGTCCCATTCTGGCCTCCCATACAGGTTAGCTTCGTCACCAAGGACAGCACTATTAGAATCCCAAGTATGAAATGGAGCACAAGAACTGTCCATTGGAGTTCGCCACCCAAGAGGACGACCGTGGCTAGAAAACCTATCAGCATCCGGAATATGGTAAGGCAGTCCAGGGTGATTCAATTCCATTGATGGCCTGACACCAAACATTGGTGGGGCAGGAAACTGTTGCATCACGGGTGGGAAACTGACATGAGCTGGACCATGTTGAAAGATGAAACCATTAGCAACAGGGGAAGGCCAATTTGGGACCCCTCTCCAAGAATTTCCTTGGAATCGTCCAACATTTGACTCACTACCCCTTCTATGACGGCTGCCTGGCTTGCCTCTGCAATCATCTTCAGAAGAGCCTAACACTGAAGGACTATCAACACCTGGTCTAAAAGGGAGAGGGGGAGGCAACAGTGACCTTGTGCTGCCTGATAAATGGCTGCCTCTGGCAAAAGGGGAAGAAACAGATAAAGTGTCCCCATCAGCATGGGAAAGCTCATCTCCTCCAAGCATCTCTATATCACGATTTCCTCTGCCTTCCTTGCCAGAGAAATCCTTTGAGCCACTTCTCAGCGCTAAATCTTCAGCATCAAGACTCCGCTTAACTTCAGATCTACTTAGATGCCTACGATCATTGCTTGTTGATGAAGGGGATTTATCCACCACCTGCAGTGAAGTGGTGCGGGAATCAGATTTCAGACGCCATTCAGCTGAACCATCCCCTACATAGCCGTCATCCTTTTGAATAATTTTCTCTGCAGATCGAGTTGAAGATATTTTATCCATTGCTCCAACAGATCCAGAATAATCTCTATTGCGCCGACCTCTTTCATCATAAGCATGGTCCCTATACTTTGAATCTTCTTGCTTCGATTGCCTGGGAGGAAACAAGGGTGGGCATAAATATAATTGGTTAAGTCATTTTATCAATCATATTCAACAACTACTAAATTCACCATTAGAATCATTTCTGACAAGCTAGTATGTATTTAGTTGATTACAAATAAATTAATTAGAAGCCCAAGAACTACAGCTAAGACCAATTTTCCCTTCTCATCTTCAATATCCATGCCCCCAACATAAAATAAAAACAGGTTGTCTAAAATTAGCCATATCAAATGCATTGCTTGGCTCTGTTCATGTTCTGCTATATACACCCGGTATAAATTAGCAGGAATTTCATTCCATATTTCACACACAAAAGAACAATATAAATAAATTGGCCCCAACATTGAAAGGATTGTAGGCTTGTAGCATCTGTCTAGAGAAGTACATCTAAACATAAAACTAGACTAGATATACAAATATATGAGTAGATCTAGTAGCCAAACTGTCATACATACCTGAAATGGTCTCTTGTGGTGTAAGGGCCAGTACTAGGTGAACTTCTTCTTCTGTTATGGTTTGAACTTCTCTCTAAATCAGTATTCCTTGAGGAAGATTTCCCTCGGTCAGCAATTGAGTCCACTCTAGGAACAGTTCCAGACCGCTTCTCAGCATCATATTGATCTTTGGAACTTTGAAATCTAATGTCGGTGCGATCCTCCTTATCATCAGTTCTTCTCCTTCCCTGGTCATCTTTGTACCTAGATGCCCGATCATCATAATTGGGGCTGTTCTCACGTATGCCTCCTTTCCTAGAATGAATATCTGCAGCATGACTCTCATCCTTCAAACGCTTAGAATCAGATCTATCTCCTGAGCGGTCTCTTTGGTTGTGATCATCTGTGTACTTTGTATCCCTCGGCCTTTTCTCTCTATCAGATTCTTCTCCATGCTTCCCATCACGGTGTCTACCATCTCTTTCAAAATCGTCTCGATGTTTCTCTTCCTTGCGCCTATTATCTCTTTCACCATCTTCTCTATACTTATTGTCCCTCTGCCTATCATCCTTCTCACCTTCTTCACGATATCTATCTTCACGACGCTTAACATCCTTGTCTCCATCGTCTAGATATTTATCATCTCGAAGCCTGTCATCCCTCTCACTATCTTCACGATACTTGTCATCTCGATGCCTACTATCTCGCTCTACTTCTTCTCGGTACTCCTTGTGTCTGTTATCTCTATCTTCATGCTGGTAATATTTATCTTCCCTATATCTGTTGTCTCTGTCACCATCTTCACTGTACTTATCATCTCTCCGCCTGTTATCTCTACCGTAACCATCACCACGGTATTTATCTTCACGCCGTCTCCTGTCTTTCTCAGCTTCATACTTCTCTTCCTTGTGCCTCTCATCTCTATCACCATCTTCCCGATACTTATCTCCATAGCCACCATCTTTATACTTTGCATCTCTGTATCTTTCATCTTTACTGCGGTCACCACCTCTTGAAGGCAACCGCTTCTCATCACTTTCAAGTATATCATCTTCGTACTTATCTCGATCACCAGAACCATCCCTTCTCTTCCGCATCTTTTTCTCAGCATCTCTATCTTGATCAGAATTGCGCACCTCACTCCGTATTGATCGATCTGCAACAAATATGAATATACAAGAATGAAAAGACCTATTCATCAATTTCTAAAAGGATAAGGCAAATTAGTATGGAAAAAAAAGTAATCAAATAATTTAATCCAAAATTTTAAAGTTTTAATTTAATACCATAATCTAAACAGCAACTTGCAGTCCCAAAAAACTGATCGAATAGTATTATGTAGAATGCAGTCTAAACAAATTAACCAATTACTATATGGTTACTTGAAAAAGATCTCACATTTGACAAGAATACAAGGCCATTACGAAATGACAAGAAGCAGGTATGTTTGTCACTAGAATAAATTGCAGTTTGTAAGTAACTAATTCTATTTAGTGAAAAAATATGCATCCTGATATAAACTTGCCAATCAAAGATGTCGAGAGGATATCATTGGAGTCTCTGGAATACATAGTTGAGAATGAACTTCGAAATTGAATCCCAAAGAAAACTCCAAAAGGGGAGGATAAACAGAACCTATCATTCTTTATACCACCCATCACCACAACCACTCGGCCCCCCAATAAGAGTTGCACCAGAATACCAAACAGAAATGTTTCCAAATAAAGCTCACATTGTACAAAATGTATAACAGATGTCAACATTATATCCATTTCCTTCCAGATCAAAAAATTCATTAGTGTCATATGCATGTCATTTACATTGCCTAGAAACAATCTCCTCATACAAAAAGGGCATTGGAACAAACAAACACCAAGCCTGCCCATCCCCATCGAGTTCATCCAACCTTCCAAATATTTCACTTACCAAAGCCACTTTGAAGCATCTCATATTTAACCAAAAACCTCATTAGAAATAGAAGGAAGCATACTACTTTCACCTCATTCATCCTTGTTAACATGAAAAACTCAAATAGCAATAAACGAATTCGATCCTGTCCTGCATTGAATTTAAACTCACAACTAAGCAAAGCATACAACAATGAAGACCATTTAATGTTGAAATGGGTAACCCTATCATTTCAAGGAGCATGAAATTTTATATGGAAGTATTCAAGCATGGAATATAACTTCCCAAACACAAATTTGTTAGCTACATTAAATCTTCTATTAACTAAAGGGTTGAAAGAATAATGATGTAATGCCAATCGAAAGCTTACAGCCACATATACCACAGCAAAAAGTTACCTTACCAGTATTTTCTTTACTGCGCTTGCTCTGCTTCTCCTCATCTCCTGACTGAGACCATATCTTCTTTTCTGTGTCTCCACTGTAGCCTCTTACTTCAGTTTCACGTTTACTATCCTGCTTCCTCTCCCTTTCTGATCCATGCTCCTTTTCCTTCAAATCCTTGCCCTCTTTCCGAACGGAATCAGTTTCTGATTTCTTCTTAGACTCACCCTTGCCACTCTTAGCCTCTTCTTTCTCCACTCCAGACAGTACAATCTCACTTCCACCGCCACTCTCATGCCTTTTACTACTTTTACTCTTCGAATCACCATAACCTTTTGCTTCCTTCTGCTTCAATCCCTTCTCTTGATCAGTTTTTGAACTTCCTGCCTTGCTCTCTTTCTCCGCTGCATGCCGACCATCGCCACTCTCATCCACACCGCCATTCCACCTATCACCGCCACCACTTCCTTCGCCCTTCTCCTTCCGCCGCTTCGTCGAAAGGTACTCCTCCGGAGCATCCCCATTCCCATAACCACTCAGATCTTTGCTCTCTCTCCCCTCTCTCGACTGCGACGAAAGCTTCCGCTTCTCACCAGAAGCCAAATCCTTAGAAACCCTAGACGAACTCTCCTTCATCTTCACATCCTCCTCCGAGTCGGAGTACTCCCTCGCCTCCTTCGAATGCTTACTCGGCTTATGCGATTTACTCTTAGAACTCCGAGGCATAACTGTAATTTCACTAAAAAAATTTCCCTAAACACCTTAAAACCTTAAAACTTTTTTTATTCCGCCCAAACCCTAGGTCCTATCCGCTACCACCAGCATAACCGCCACAACCATCCAGATTCCGTCCCAATACACCACTCCAGCAAAATGCAAATCGGAACCGAAGATTCCTCGCCGGTTGACTTGCCGGAAAACGGATTTGACCTTTCAAATTGCTGGGTTGCGGCGACAGGCAGATACAGGCCGATTGCGGATACAGAGAGAGTAGGTGTATACACAGACGGAGAAGTGGACGGAGAGAAGAAGGACAGTAAAGATTGATACAGAAATGAAAATTGGGAGAAAAAGTGACGATAGGAATCTGAACATATATGTTGACACCGGCAGCGGGTGAGGGAGAGATCGGAGGCGAAGGCTTCTTGTTGTGTTGCTGCTTTTGCCAAATTAAAATGTGATTCGTATTGGGGTATCGCGGATAATTGGACTCCAATGACCCAATTACCCCTCAGAGATGCCCCTATTTACGGGGGTTGCCTTCTTTGACACGTGTTTTTGGATAGAAATTCCTAAAATAAAAATATTTGTCATGAAATAATTCATTCAGATTTTTGTTTGAGTACTATTTCCTATTGGGGTACTCATGTGACTAGTGCAAAAATTTCACCTAGACACAACTTAATCGGCGCTAGTGTATCATCATAATCAGTGTTTTAGGCGACCAACTAAACCGCTTAAGCGCCGCCTAGGCATCTTAGGCTAAGTCACCAAGTCAATCGATTAGCTATTGCTCTATTCTTTTTTAAATGGGTTATTTCACCTAAAATGATATCGTTTTGAGCGAAATAACCCAAAATTGTTCAAAATCTAGATTTTTTAGGTTAATATTTAATATTTTAGTATTAACTATTAAATATTAAATATTTTATAATTATCAAGTCTTTAAAATTTAAAAAAAAATAAACAAATTTTTAAAAAAATAAAAAAATATAATAAAAAATACATAGACGCCTAGGCACCGATTAATCGCCGCCCAGACACCCTCCAAGTGTCCGATGAGCGTCTATCGATTTTTTCAATCATGCTTGTGACCTTCCATTTTGGAGAGTCACAGTTATACTGATTGACAACAAGGTCTTTGACATTCATAAACGTTAAACTGCTACAATTAGTACTACACCCAAATTATGATATTTTTAAGGATTAGGGTTTAAGAGTTATAAATTTATAATTTTTAAAAAATATATGGTGTATTATTAAACTTTTAATCAACGTTATTTTTATTATGTGGTAGGATGGGCTTAGTCCATTTTGATAGTATTGATAGAGGAAACTAGAAACGCATGTCATGAGCAAGTTTAATATAATACTCCGTACTAGTCAGGGGCACGTGTGTTGTAAAAAATGTCATGTTTAACGACTAGACATTATATTTAGTTGGAGTCTATTTCACAATTTTTGGTAAGTTTTTGGATTGATGAGATTGAGATAAGAGGGGGTGACCCTGACTAGTTGTCTCTAACGACTCTACGAGCTGAACCGTCGATATCCCAAAAAATCTTCATTCACAATCTCACGCGTGTCATTCACCAAGTACGGAGTATTGAGGTAAGAGGGAATGACCCTTTTTTTGGTAGGAAGTAAGAGGGGGTGACCCTGACTAGTTGTCTCTCTAATGACTCTACGAGCTGAACCGTCAAAATTTCAAAAAATCTGTATTCACAATCTCACGCATGTCATTCACCAAGTACGGAGTATTTGATAAACCAGTGGATGGCTTACGACAAGTCGTGACACTATTATTGTAATTAGTGTTGTGGCGCCCCGCAATTATCATAGCTAATGCTAAATACGCATTATGATTTGTTTTTAAATTAGGGTTTAAGCGTTATAAATTTATACCGCTCAGAATTTCAAGCCCACCTCACCTTTGTTATGTGACAGGTTGGGCTTAGCCCTCTTTAGCAATACAAATAAAGGGAACTATTTGTTCGTAACTACTGTTTAGAGAGTTCAATAGAGCTTCAAGCCTTCAATTGAGACTCGAACTCACAACTTTCTATATGTGAGTTCAACTTGATATCATTAGATCACAAGGTTCTTGGTATGCATTGTACGAGATGTTTTGCCCCAAATCCCTAATGACGACTAAGCAATATATTTGTTTTGAGTCTAAAATTAAAAATACTTCTCAAATGCAAGAAATGTTATGCTCCAAGTTCCTTGCTCCGCCCACATGTTATAATAATGAATATTATGGAGTAAGATAATGTAATTTATGAGCTAGAATAATGGTTATATTTTTGTCATTAAAATCAGTGGAAGATATAAATCTCGAGATTTGTCTAAAGTGAGCCACAAATACTTCTAACACAATAAGATCAAATTTATACTTCGTATCTCATTTTCTCTTTTCTTGGTAGGATTTGAACACTGCACCATGCGACTATTAACAACACAAAAGTTATGAACTTATTTGGGATTAGTTGAAAAAACAAATAAATAATGACAAGTGAGGTCTTCAACAACCGTTATTGGATCTTTGTCTACCATCAATTTTAATGTCTTGATGTTTCTAAGTATGTAATGGGTTGGGCTTTTCTTGTTCTGTATGGTGACGACTTCTTTAGCTCAACAAGGAGTAATGATTCATTAACTACAAAGCTAAAATATGGAAATCAAAGGAAACCAAGTTATATTGCCTAGCCCGTTTATGATCGCAAATTATGCTGTGTACAGGGTGCACACGGTTGTAAAAATGACGTCGTTTTGACTAAAAACACACGTTCCATTTAAAGAAAAAAAAATCACATGTTCGATTCCTGACAATAGTATTTTGTGTGCATAATTTGAATTATATATCCACAAATCCATAGATATATATCCACAAATTCATAACTATATATCCACAAATTTATAACTATATATCCACAGTGAATGAATAACACAAAATTCAGAATGAATGAACTAAATATCCACAATGAATGAACTAAATATCCACAATCAATAAACTAAATATCCACAATCAATAAACTAAATATCCACAATGAATGGACTAAAAATCCACAATGAATGAACAACATAATACTCTTGAGGAGAATCAAAACTGATTTTATTTTTTTAATGGAACACGCATTTTTAGTCAAAACGACGTCGTTTTACATGGTGCACACGGTTGCACAACATAACTATTGGTTTATGATGGGACGTTATGCCATGGAACCGTGTTCACCATTCATGGTGAACACGGTTCCAACGGTGTTAGTACACCGTTATCTTTTTTTTTTTTTTTTCTTAATTAATTGCATGACTTTTCTTCTTTATTTTCACATTTTGCGGTTTCACTTTAATTTGAGGTGAACAAAGATTTCGGACATTCATAAATTATGAATTCATGCTTGCACATTCACTTTGGAACCATGCCTACACATTCCCGTCCGAAATCACGGACATTCATAAATTATGAATCCATGCCTGCACATTCACTTTGGAACCATGCCTACACATTCACTTTGGAACCATGAGATTATGAATTTTCTGTTATAAGATTATGAATTTTCTGTTATGAGATTATGAATTTTCAGTTATGAGATTATGAATTTTCTGTTATGCGATTATGAATTTTCTGTTATGAGATTATGAATTTTCATTATATTCATAATTTCGGACATTCATAAATTATGAATTCATGCCTGCACATTCACTTTGGAACCATGCCTACATATTCCCGTCCGAAATCACGGACATTCATAAATTATGAATCCATGCCTGCACATTCACTTTGGAACCATGCCTACACATTCACTTTGGAACCATGAGATTATGAATTTTCTGTTATAAGATTATGAATTTTCTGTTATAAGATTATGAATTTTCTGTTATGAGATTATGAATTTTCAGTTGTGAGATTATGAATTTTCTGTTATGCGATTATGAATTTTCTGTTATGAGATTATGAATTTTCATAAAATTCATAATCTCATAACAGAAAATTCATAATTTGATCAAACGCGCGCCGTTAACTCCACATCCGCGATTTTTTTTTTTTTTTTTTGCCTAAAAACGACGTCGTTTTGTCTTGTGTTCACCATTCTCGGTGAACACGATTCCATGGCATAATTTGCGCTTTATGATGGGGTAGGCTATTAATTTAGAGACCGGCCAAGATTATTTTTTTACAAAGGAAGAGACCGGCCAAGATTATTAACAATATAAAACAAAAATCTATTTGAATTTTTTAATTTTAATTTGTACTAATTTTATTCTGGATTATTTAAACTCATTATTAATTTAAGAATTTTGAATTAATGTTTATTTAAATTGTATAAACTACCATGTGGTGTAATGACATATCGGTTACCATTTCAAATTGATGGTCATATGTTTTAAACCCCGGTGGTGGAGGGCTTATTCTAGTAAAGAATCATGATTATTTCAAAAAAAATTGTATAAACTATGCTATATTGTCCATTTTTTTTTTTCAAACATTAAAAAATTTTAAAGAGCTCATTTGCCACTTGAGCTACTTGTCCGTTTTGATTTTTTTTTTTTTGAAAATCGTTGTTTTGATATTTAAGTTTTAACAGATTATGTAATTTCTTGTTTCTCATGTTTCAACACAAGTTTTAATTTATTCTAGGTACAGAATCAATAATTTTAAGGTAAAATTTGTATAACATGAGACACAAAAACTTACAACACAAGACGTATACACATGTTATATATTTACTTATTCTCAATTTTGATTTATGTAGATAACATATGTCCTATAGGCACATACTTTCATAATACAAAACATAAATTCGTAAAAATATGTTGTGTGTTACACAACTACTAATCTATTTCAGGTACATAATCTATACGCTTAAGATACCTAATTACATAACATGAGACACAGAAACGCATAACACAAGACACATACACATGCATGTTTTATATTTACTTTAGTTCAAGTACATAACAATATTCTTAAGGTACATAATTTCATAACATAAGACACAAAAACGCATAACATAAGACACTGCAACGCATAGCATAACACACAAAAGCGCATGTTATATTTAGTGTATTTCAGTTACATAATTCATATGCTAAGGTATAAAATTGCATAACATGAGACACATGAACGCATAACACAAGATACATAAACATGCTTCAGAAGAAGAAAAAAAAATAATGTGAACTGAATAACAAACAATTGCTGTCAAAATTAAAATTCAAAATTACGTCATTTAAGACCAGGTTCCTGATCCATAGTATAATTATGATTGATCATTCTCCTACGTTGATTGAATGTTCATCTCTTGAGTCTTAATCCTTCTCCCACGCTTAATTATTAGTGTATTTATTATAGGTTTGAGAAATGATACGTTAACTCTATAAAATCTTTTTTAAACTATATTTTTTAAAATTCTTTTTGAAATTTCATTAAAAATAACATTTTAAAAATAAACTTATGAGTTTTATCTAGATTTTTTCACAAGTTGTAAAAATTAATAGATCGTACACATAACGTTTTCCAATCACATCAATCATATGGGACTATTAGTTTACTTTTCTTCCCTTCTTTTATTATTATTATTATTATTATTATTATTATTATTATTATTATTATTAATTATTAATTATGGCCAAAATTTATGCTTCCTCCAATCCGGCCGGCATCTATATAAACATGGATTGCCCCCTTCTGCTTCCTCAGAGGCTCAGACGTCCTTTTAGCTTCTCATCATCACTTCACTTCATCCTTTTAATTTGTTATCATTTCTCTTCGATCAGTCTTCAAACGTAAGAATTACAAAAAAAAAAAAACAAAAAACAAAAAAAAAAACAAAAAAAATGTTGGAAACCCTGGGTTCCTTCTTCAAACCACACAAATCAAGAAAACCCAAAACTGTTCCTCAAATTTCTAGTTGTGTGTTTAGAGATGAGCTAGACAAGAAGCCGCCGCCGCCACACTGTAGGAAAGCTAAGAAGCAAGTCAAATTTGATTTGAAGCCATCAGAACAGCAAAGCGCAGATCCAGAAGACGGTTCAGACCGCCGCCGCAGCGGCGGCGGCGGCGGCGACGGCGGAGGGGTGAGACTGAAGGTGTTGATGAGGAGAGGAGAAGCTACCAGGTTGCTGTCAAGGTGTGGAGAAGGAGGGGTTCTTACGTTCATGGACGTGGCTGATGAGCTTAAACATATTCCCCTCAATCACATTTCCATTATTTCTTCTTCTTCTTCTCCTCTTCCTTTTTCTGTTTGTGATGATAAACTTGAAAGTATTCAGGAATTGAAAGAAGATTAATTAGATCAAGAAGATGATGATTTTGAAGTGATGATGATGAACTACTGTACTTTTTTTTTCCAGATTCTAAGAAGTTATCTAGCATTCTAGCTAGCTAGCTAGACTGATGTAACTTCTTTTTTGTTTGGTCTATGAATTTTAATTTGTTCATAAATAATATGTCAGTCTCTTGGCCCATCTTATTTCATCGAGTAAATACCAGCCAAGGTCCCTTGAGTTTGGTGGTTTCACCACCTATAGTCCCTAACTTCCGTAATTACCATCCGTGATCCTCCGAATTGCGAAACCTGACCAGTTGACATCCTCCCGTTAGTTCCTTCTGTCTAAGGTGTCAAAAGTGGGGGTAAATATGTCATTTTCCACAAAATACCTTCATTGGCTCCATTTTTGGGAAATCAAGAACCCACACGCACCCCTTCCGTCTCCACCTTCAATGGCATTACCGTCCAGTGATTTAACTCGAACTGCGTGGAGAGACGAACAGGAAAGGTCGTCGTCGCCGTGGCGGGTGCGACAGCGGCAGCTGCTGGAAGCGGAGGAGGACTCTGTGGACATGGAGAGAGGTTCGCCTTTGAAGTATGTCTCACTATGTGACGTCTACTCGGCAACCTCCCTTTGCGTCAGGGCCAACGGATCGAAGAAAGTCAAGGCCTTTCGCAAAATCACAACTTTTGACATCCTGCAGCTAAGCAATTCGTTCCGGCGGCACCTACCAATTATATAAAAATGTGGAAGCCCCCTATTACGCAGTTCTACACGAGCCGCTGCAAGAGGAAGCAATCCGAGCCCTCTTTTTTCAACTCTCTTACTTTGCCCCTGCAACCAATTGTTGTAAAACTGGACAATGTGGTGGTAAAGAATGAAGTAGAAGAGGGAACAGAAGATGCGATTGTTGCAAAGAATAAGAATTATGATTCAAAGAAAAGGAGAAAAGTGGGGAGCTTGAAATTGGTGGTGGATGTGAATACAATTAGCAGTGGCCTTAATGGGTTAAGGGAAACCCGGAATAATAAGGATCAATTTTCAATCTGGGCAAATTCATTGCAAAAAATGGGGGTTTGGTATGAGCACCCCTTCCTTGTATTTATCATTTTATTATTTTGTGGGTGGCCAATTTTTGAACTTTTTGGTCATCAAATATGGGATTGTATTCTTGATTGAGGTCTAGTGGGTGGATTGCCCACACCCATTTCTTGGCCGCCAGGCAACAAGGGGAAGAGAGAGGTAGATCTGGGAAATGCTTTCACTTTTTCGCAGGAAGAACGTCGTCATTTTCTTGGTGTTTTTGCATTAGAATGAACCTTTTGAGAGGTGGTAATGCTTCAAGTTTGCCCCCATTAGAATTGCAGAAATGATGGAATTGGAGAATGGAAAACACTGTAAGTGTGTGCGGTTTCAATTCAGGACTGGGATGAGATAAAAAAAAAAAAAAGAAGAAGATTTTTAATGGATTTCATGCTAAGATTCGAAGGAGTTGATCCATAGCGGCGCCTTCCACCACCGCAACCTTGGCGGACAGAGCCAGAGGAGGAGTCTAGAAATGGAGTCAATGAAGAAATTCTGTGATTTTTAATTTCTGAATGTTTTATTATATAGCAAATGACATATTTATCCCCTCTTTTAACGGCTTAAACAGAAGGAACTAACGGGAGGATGTCAACTGGTCAGGTTTCGCAACTCGGAGGACCACGGATGGTAATTACGAAAGTTAGGGACCATAGGTGGTGAAACCACCAAACTCGAGGGACCTTAGCTGGTATTTACTCTATTTCATCAAAATGAAAAATCGATCGTGTAAATTAGTTAATATAAGAGTTCTACTTACATCTACTCCATAATCTTACTTCCTAAATTGTACTCCCTGATATGGCGGATTTTGTAAAATATGATGTTTGGTTTTTGTAAAAGTAAGTCATGTTAAGACTATTATTATACTATGAATGGACTAAAATTTATCTTGCATTGTGGACCATTTTGGTTTTAAAATTATGTGTTTGTAGTTTCAGTTAATAAATTATGTATCTGTCTGTAAATAATTGAATTGAAAGCATATAATTTGTTAACTATAACTGCATATTATGTGATGTGCATGCAATCAACAAATCATGTATCTTTAATTTAACTATAGACACATGTTTTTTTAGATCATGGTCTTAATTTACTATGTTAAGAGACTTGGGCGAGTCTAAGACCAATCTCAATAGTATAAAATTTTTGGTGATTTTTGTCTAGACAACAAGAAAAGGGAAAGAAGATGGAAGAGGAAAAAAAAATAGGAAAAAAAAAAGCAAAAACAAATTTATTATTATTATTAGGTTGAATCAACGATTTGGTCCCTCACTTATTCGCGACTTGTCAATATTGCCCCTGAATCACGTATTCATCGATTTAGTCCCCGAAAATAATTGTTTTTCGTCAAATCAGTCCCTATGGCCGTATTCCGTCAAGTCTCAGGCGAGACCTCCGATTTGCCTTGGGCATTTTGGTCTTTTCACGCCTTCTTCTTCATTAACTCTGACCAAGCTTCACCGGAGAAGCTCAAGCTCGCCGGAGGGAGCTCCATCTCTTCTTGCTCGTCGAAATTAGCTCACCCGCAGTAGTGATTCATCTTTCTTCGACGACATTCCATCGTCGCCGACGTCAGCTTCACCTCCAATGATGAGTTGTTGACCCCAAATTCACTCTCCGGCGAATCATCCAGTCGTGGTGCACCCTCCACGCCTCCCACGGCGTCGAGCGCTTCCCCACCACAAAGCCTCCGGTGACCAAGTCTCACATCCTAAAGCTCCCCCGGCAAGCCAAGTCGACGCCGGAAATGCAGACTAAAGTTCTCCAAACCCTAAGGTCCCTCGCGTCAGAAAACGCAGCGAATAAACGCTGCATGGAGAACGCCGGCGTGGCGGAATTCCTCGCCGCAATCATCATAACATCAAACATCGTCGACAACAAAGAAACATTATCGTTCATCGGGGCGGCGACCGTGCTGATCGATCTACTACTGGACACGAACAAGAAACGATATTGCGAGTGGAGTCTGAGCGTACTGGAGCAGCTTTGCCGGTGCGCGGAGGGGCGGGCGGAGCTGCTGAAGCACGCGGTGGGGCTGGCGGTGGTGTCGAGGAAAATCCTGAGGGTGTCGCAGGTGGCGAATGAGAGAGGTCTGAGGATCTTGTACTCCATCGCCAAGTTCTCCGCTACTCCCAGTGTGGTGCAAGAGATGTTGCAGCTGGGAGTGGGGGCGAAGCTGTGTTTGGTTATACAAGTGGATTGTGGGGTTGGGAAGAACAAGGAGAGAGCTGCTGAGATTCTCAAATTGCATGCTAAGGAAGGGAAGAATTCTCCTTGTTTACCATTGGATTTGATTCATAACACCATAGGTGTTAATTAGGCAAGCCATCGGAGGTGAAGCTGATGTCGGCGACGATGGAATGTCGTCGAAGAAAGATGAATCACTACTGCGGGTGAGCTAATTTTGACGAGCAGAGAAGAGATGGAGCTCCCTCCGGCGAGCTTGAGCTTCTCCGGCGAAGCTTGGTCAGAGTTAATGAAGAAGAAGGCGTGAAAAGACCAAAATGCCCCGGGCAAATCGGAGCTCTCGCCTGAGACTTGACGGAATACAGCCATAGGGACTGATTTGACGAAAAACAATTATTTTCGGGGACTAAATCGATGAATACGTGATTCAGGGGCAACATTGACAAGTCGCGAATAAGTGAGGGACCAAATCGTTGATTCACCCTTATTATTATTATTATTATTATTATTATTATTATTATTATTATTATTATTTTTATTTTTTTTATGAAAAAAAAAAAAGCAAAAGATTAACGCACCCAGTCGGGTGCGAGATTTGTGCCACACGCGGGTCTTCTGCAGTAATTTTGCCTTCCGTTCTCTTTCCTTTAGGCCCACAAAAAACTCACATTTGCAGAAAAAGAAACATTAAAAAAAAAAAAAAAAAAAAAAAAAAAAAAAAAAAAAAAAAAAACCCTCCCATTTGTTAAAATCAACCCATTGATTTTTTACTGTTTCAAAAATCACCAAAGATTTACTATTGGGGTTGCTCTAAGTTAGTATTGGACCAAAATATTGTGGAAAAAAAATCCACTCGTAAATTGACCATTTTAATAATTTAATGTGTCTAGTAAATATGATATTCTCAACGCATTTTGTTTTTCTCACTTTCTTCCAATTTTCTGTGCTTAATTTCATATATAATACAAATTTTCTTCTATATTCCAATGTTCTATTATATTGTTCCATTTTTTTTCCTCCCACTTTCTACATATATATCCAAAGTCCAAACTTAGCGTTGATTACAACGTAACTTACAGGGGTTAAGTCCGATCCGAGAAAGAGTCAAACATTTGACACCCATCTTGACGTCCTGGCTAATGATCGAGATATATATACATACATTATTCCTAGGCCCTAGCTTTCTTATAACTACTTCAGTTAATTAATAATGTATAAATTTGAGTTAAATAAAATTTTCAATAATTCTTGTGCGTTGAAGTTTTTACCAAGACTGGATAGGATGGATGTTTTGACATTTGTGCCCCAGGCACATGCTTGGGACTAGGGTTTTGTAGACTTGAATTTTGCTAAGTGTGTTTTGGGTCTTTCTCGGTTAATTTACGATTCGAGCCCACCCGACTAATCTCCGCTCGCTTCGAGAGGCACAGGAGCTGGTCCAAGAGAAATCATCACTTATGAAAATTGAATCCGAATTATCCCAAAACTCTTCTTCACAAAAAGAGCTCATTTGGCACTTGAGCTGCCCTGATCCGTCGGGTTGGAATTTATGTTAAGTTGATAAACTAGATATATAGCTACGACTTCATATCCCTTTAATCACGCCCAACTTTAATTTCTTGCAGTCCCCTCTCCTACGCAAGTACGCATGCATATATCATGAATTAGTATTAGTTACAGAGTCGATTATTTTCTCAGACAAGAGTACGAGAATATAATCGTGGAGAATATACTAAAAGGTGAAATAAAGGGATAAGTGATTTTTACGTGAATTGAGAGTAAATTAAATTAAATGATTTTTATGTGATTGAAAAAATAACGAATCTTTTGCTATGTTGTGGTAATACATTGACATACATAGCTTATAAGTTAGATTAAAACTGAAAGCTTTAAAACTAGTAGATATTAGCTAGCCTAATGTAAAATGTTATTTAAGGTAGCTTAGTGTTTAAAAATAAGATATTATTTTAACTTTTTTTATGTTTTACTGAGTTTATAGTTTATTTGTAGTTGCCAAGTACCTTGTGGTCCAATGACACCAAATTGTTCCTTTATATGAAAGGTTGTAAGTCCGAATCTCGGTAGAGGTTATATTGACTCGTTGTGCTTCATTAGAAATAATTTATTTGTAGTTTAAAATAATTTATAAGATCTACCAAATAAACATATATAGCCACGTACTTCTTTGTCTTATTTCTTTATTATTCTAAGTGGTTGGTATATGTTACATTTATTTTTGTAATCTTGCTTGTTTAATGATCTTAATAGGGGTAAGATCAAATGAGAATGGACGCCTAAGTGTGAACGTACCGTGCAAAATTATAAAATGCATTCTATATGATATGTAAAAGTGCATTTACGAAACTATGAACTCTAAAACTGTACTTGTTTTTTAGTTGTACTTTTACATATAATATGGTGCACGCATTTTTTATGTCGCACTTTTACATATTATATATGATGCAATTTGTAATTTTGCGCGATGAATATTTGCATGTTCGCACTTGGGCATGCGCTTTCACATGATCCGTCACCTACCTTCATAGTAGCTAACACACCCGAATATTAAGAGTTGATCTTTTGTAAAACGTCTAATATTTTTAACAAAAATATATAATTTTTTATTAAAATATTCATAATTCTTTAAAAGGTAGTATATGTTTTATACTTTCTCAAACATTTGTAGTCTAAAGAATTTAAGCCCCCACTATTAGAGTTCAAACCTATGACCATCGTACCCATTTGGAATGGTAACACAAATATAATAAATTTTTAGGATTCTGTAGAAGACTATTATGTTAGAAATATACAAATGAAATAGACATGTTTCATATAATCTAACCTCAATAGCGGAAGCATAGGATCAAGCATACCTCCAGCCATAGTTGATACCTTCATTGCATTGCTTGAAGATCAGTAAAGAACTGTTTTTTGTCTACCACTTGGTCTCCTATTCTACTAGATGGTGTAGTCACAATAGATCACAGGAGCAGTGGGAGGACCAAACATATATATAACCTACGTGCCATCATTATAGGTTAAGTAACGGAAACCGTTACTTCCGTTTCAACCCACAATCATAATTACCATAAATGGCATATTAACTTGCACCACTTAAGGATGACATAATGGAAAATGTTACATATTATGCATCTCAATTGAGACAATATTACGTAAATTTGTAGACAGTATTTGGGAGGAGATACCAAGTTTGAATCTCGGCAGCGACAGTATGAGGATTAATGTCCAAAGTGAGCACATATCCCTTGTGCACACTGACATTTGGCCCTGTATGCTGAGCCATTGAGTTACCGTGATTTACATCCTCCCAAATGTTTTGTCCGGTCTGGGTGAGGGTTGGGGATTCAACCTTTTGGGAGAAGAAGTATTACGTAAATTTTGGTGGAGAGGAAATTTCAATTTTAGTCCACTGACTGTTGCACTTGTATTAATTGCAACACTTGACTATCAAAAATGTTAATTTAGTACCTTGACTATGCGATTTCTATCAATTTTGATCACGCCGGCCAAATTACCGACCAATTATGACCGGAAAATTTCAATGTATAAAATTTTGAGGGTAATTTAGTCATTTAACCTTTTTTTTTTCTTCTCCGTTTCTTATCTTCTACACCGTCGGGAAATTTTTACTGAAACTTGCTGAAGCTTAGACGCCATTTTCAATCACCGAATGGGCATCATAATTAAGCCTGCAACTAGTGTCATACTTAGGCACTAACCTTAATAATTTGCAGTACACAGTCACATAATAAATTGGAATTGAGATGAGTATATAGAATCATATTACGCAACAAATTAAGAAAATAAAAGAAAGAAGAACCAGTGTAGTGCGCGTTGCTGCTCTGGAGAAATTTCCACGCCACCGATCGGAGTACCTTCAGCCACCACCACACCACAGATTAATTCGCCGAACAGAGCTCTGAGCGAAGAGATTGAATCCTTCCTCTGCAGAATTCGCCCTCTTTTTATCATTGCTGAATAAATAATAATAAAAAAAAACTCAAGTATTAATCTATACTGTATTATAGTATATTTGTTGTTTGGTTGTGTTTATTTTTGTTGTCTGGTTTCTTGAACTGCATGTCACCGCCGCTTCGTCACTGCCGTTGTTCGCTTTGGAAAGAAGAGAGGACCAAACTCATCTGAACAGGGAGAGATGAAGGATGGCGGCGGCAGCTTCATGAACGAAGGAAGAAACAATCGCCGGAAACCAGAGGGAAGAGATGGATTCATCAGGGAAGAAAGAAAAAAGGACTAAAATGACTATAATACCCTCAAAATTGTATCAATTAAAATTTTCCGGTCACAATTGACCGGTAATTTGGTCGGCGTGACCAAAATTGATAGAAATCGCATAGTCAATATACTAAATTAGCATTTTTGATAGTCAAGTGTTACAATTAACACAAGTACAGTAGTCAGGGGACCAAAATTGAAATTTTCTCTTTTGGTGGAATATCAAATACAAGTTGTTACGTGTAGAATAAACTCCAACATTGTGTTACCCACAATCTCAATTATTAATCAAGTAGCCATATATGTTATTTTCCTAGAACAAGTCTTATGATGTCATTTGTACTGTCAATTATTTATGTGAGGAGACTCCTAACAAACATCGTCAACGTCCTCCTGTCTTATTGAAAGCTGGACAGTTGCATCTAATTTAATGCTCATGCATGTGTTTTGGGGTAAGAAAATGCTAAATAATAGTGTTTTTTTTTTTTTTTTTTTTTTTAAGGTGTCAATCAGAAGATAGAGGAGGGAGAGAGAAGAAGGGAAAAAGAGAGAGAGAAAAACAAAACAAAAAAATAAAAAATAGAGACGCGGTTTATGCAGGTCACCCACGCGGCTGCGCCTCTCTTTTCCCTTTTCTATCTCCAGACGGACACCACAAAAAAACTATTTTTGCAGGACGATTCCAACTCTTCTCTCTCCTCCACATAAGTCATGTTCTTCTAAAAAATTGTGAAAAAAATCACAGACGGGGATGCTCTTGGCACCCAAAAAAAAAAAAACACTCTTGTGTGGTCGAACTCGTCGGCTTTTTCAGTGCAGTTTATTTCTCCCCATTTATTGATTATAATACATGAGTGATGTTTATCTATAAAAAAAAAACACTCTTGTGTGGTCGAACTCGTCGGCTTTTTCAGTGCAGTTTATTTCTCTCCATTTATTGATTATAATACATGAGTGATGTTTATCTATAAAAAAAAAAATAAAAAAAAAAACACTCTTGTGTGGTCGAACTCGTCGGCTTTTTCAGTGCAGTTTATTTCTCTCTATTTATTGATTATAATACATGAGTGATGTTTACCTAATGTACCGTATATTATTGTCTATTGGATAATAAGTATGGATTTCTCTTGTCGTTTTAAAAAATACGATAAAAATATAAATGTTCACCGCATTTGAAATAACTGTTCCTTATTTGAGAAAAAATTCATTAAGGCCTTGTTTGGTAAAAAATTGGCCTATAGGCTAATTTTAGCTTATTTGACCACTATTAATTGGTTGATTTAGTTAAAATATCAATATAAATGATTGGTTAATTAGCTTTTTGCAACTCCAAAATGCTAAAATTCAAAATGCTACTCCAAACAACTTTTCCAATTAGCTTTTTGAGAAAATAAATTATACCAAACAGCTATCAGCTAACAGCTAATTTATCAAATACTTTTCTACAATCAGCTAATGTTATCAACTATTTATACCCTCTAATTAACACAATAAGCTAACAGCTAAAAGCCATTTTATCAAACAGGGCCTAATTAAATCAGATTTTTTTAAAAAAATTAATATTCGTCATTCCTCAATACTCCTCAAATGAGATCTTACAACAACTTCATTCCAAATTATCGAAGCTATCTGGCTATATATTATTCCAAGGCTGAACCCCAACCCTAAGGGCCCCCACACCCCGACCCGACAGAGCATTTGGAAGGATGTAAATCATGGTGACTCAACTGAACAAGTAGGAGGTTAGTGTACCAAATTTTGTTTTCAGTTAAAAAAAAATTACAAAAATATTGATACATTACAAGAAAAACTAAAATTATTGACAAAATTTCATAAGTAAATCATTGGCAAAAAGTGGAATAGTTTACCTCAGGGGTCCTCAGATCTTGACTCGACAATTTGTGAAAAGATAAATCATTGTGACTCAACTGATTAATAGATCGAGACTAGACTTTTGTTTATTGCGCACAAGGAACTCGCCCCCTTAAGAGGTTGCTCCCAAATTATTGTCGTTGGTGAGACTTAATCTTTAATCTCTTGTAACAAATTTCACCTCTGTGACCAGTTGAGATTAACAATGAACAGATAAAAATTATAACACCCACGTACAAGAATGTAAATCATAAGGAAATCAAAAGAAACATACATGTTCTATTTATTGAATTTAGTGTTGAAAAGGGACATAAACCATAATTTACAACAACAAACTTACACCTTAGCTAACTCGAAACTAAAGGAGTTGATGATGATCATATCACTACTACAACAGATTCATCATTCATCTATGATTTATCCATCACCTCATGCAATTCCGGGCTCTCAGTTATGACTTCAAGAGAAGGCTTCCATGTCGTAGCAGAAACTGAAGCTTTTGCCGCCGCCTTTCCTCTGCATCTCTCCAGTTCTTCCAACACATCTTCCAATGATGTTGTTCTTCCCTGTCGGAGCTTCACCTGCGAGAGCACCCACTCCAACTCCTCCTTCCTCACCACAACCTTTACCCTCCTGTTATTCCTAGGTTGTTCTTGCTTCGGAAATTCCGAGGTTTTGTCCATGCAATTTCCCATCTTAATTTCTGCTGGTCGGGGATTGATTGATGGGAGAGATGATCGGAAAGGGTAAATATGTTTAGTGGTTGAGTGTTGGGAGAGGGTGGTTAGTTATTAGCAAAATAACGACTATGCCGCATGTGAATGTGAGAGAGAGTATATATGAAATACATAAAATTTTTAGAAATATTTTTCAAAAAAAAAAAAAAAAATTGAAAGTTTTTTTTTTTTTTTTTAAATGTTGTGGATTTGTCTACTAAGCCGTCAACGGCGACTTGTGTCAATCCAATGTTGTGCCAAGACAATTTTGCAAATAACTTCACTGTCAGTTGTGATACAGCTGCCCATCTCTCTTTGTTAATAATTTAAATCCGTTGTCTCGGTAGGGTTCTATTATAGATCAATCTCGATCAATAGTTTAATATCGATGGAACATTTTTTTTTTGTTATTTTATGCAGACTTTTCTTCTTCTTTTTTTTTTTTTTTTTTTTTTTTTTTCTTCTGGGTAACCCATATATCATAGAATTAATTAATGGGAGAACCCGGTCTCTCAGTATATATTTTTTTTTCTTTTTACTTTCATTTGAAATTCGAATCTCAAATTTTATTTAAAGAAAAATTGATTCGCCCAAACTCAATTAGAAATAAATTATAAATAACGATTGACAACAACTTGAAGCAAAAGCAATATTGTTTTTGATGGTTGCTTTTTAGACTTAGTCTTTCAGTATAATGTACGTTTTGGATAAGAAATAAGGGGACACACATCATTAGATATACATAAATGCACCACAAATAATTGAGTTGATAAGTATTGTCCAATAATTTTCTAAATTTAGCATATATATATATATATATATATATATATATATATATTAATTCCACTCAAATTGACTTAAATCCGGTTCTGTTTTTTTTTTTTTTTACCAAATAATTTGGTTTGATTTATGCTGTTAACAAATTTTATTGTGAGCAATTTTTAAACTTCACTATATTTTTTTTAGATCAATAATATGTGCCGACTCTGATCTAAGTGAGATAATATAACCTACCATAGTCTCATCACATCATAAATGATAATTTCTTTGTAAAATGAAAATAAAAATAAAATAAAACGTACGTTGCACAGTCCAAAATGGTCCACTCCAAATTAATACATCGTTTAAGGCGAGAATAGAGACGACAATGACGTTTGTATGAAAAGTGCATGAACGTTACGTTTGGCTACAGTCTAGACTTTTCAATTCTCCATTATTTTATTTTTTAGAGTAAATACTTAAAATGGTCCCTCGATTATAGCTAAATTTACAAATTGATCCTCGATTTTCAGTTTTAACTAATTAAGTCCTTAACTTTACAATTTTGACACGATTTGGTCCTCCATATATTTGACCATTTGTTGACCGTGATCGACGATCTCCAGAAGAACCTTCAGCTCTCGTCGGAGCACGTGGAGGCCTCCAGGATGACGTTGTACTGGTTCAGAAACACGTCGTCTTAATCGCTCTGGTACGAACTCAACTACATTGAATCCAAAGGGAGGATGAAGAAAGGCGACCGAATTTAGTAGATTGCTTTCGGCAATGGTTTCAAATGTAACAGTGCGGTTTGAAAATGCAACCGGAACCTTAAAAGCCCAACTATGGACCATGAAATTACATATATATTCTCAAAAATCACAGTCAACAAACGGTCAAATAGACAGAGGACCAAATTGTGTTAAAATTGCAAAGTTAAGGACTTAATTGGTTAAAATTGAAAGTCGAAGACCAATTTGTGAATTTAGCTATAGTCGAGGGACCATTTTGGGTATTTACTCTATTTTTTATTAGTTTTTAACAATAAGTGTCAAATAAACTATTGAACTATACAGAAAAATTGCAATTAAGACATCGAACTATAAAAAGTTCCTCTTAAACATCTGAACTTTAAAAAAAAAAATACAATAAATTCATTTGACATGTTATTGCAAGTAACCTCTAAGTTAAAGGTGATTGTTATTATTGTTGTTGTTATTATTATTATTATTATTATTATTATTATTGGGCATCCAAGTCATCAAAATATATTGATGTAGCATATCAATCACCTTTAGCTTGCAGATTACCTGCAATAACATGTCAAATGGAGTTAATTGCACTTTTTTCTAAGTTCAAATGTCTAATTAGAATTTTTCTAGTTTGATGGCTTAATTGCACTTTCATAAATAGTTCAAGAGCTTATTTGACCCTTAGGGGATGGTTCAAGTGAAAACACCTCCCTTGTAAAAAGTATGGATACAACCACACCCTTTATCTTGAGAAATCAAATGTTAGGATCTTATTATTACTAAACTTTCAAGTTCACAATAATTATAATTAAAATGAATTTTACCAAGACCTTGTGGTCTAATGGCAATAAGATTGCACTTCCATATGAGAAGTTGTGGGTTTGAGCCTCAGTTAGTTGCACTCAAAAAAAAAAAATTAAAACGAATCTCACTCTTAAAATTTTTAATAATTATAAAATTCACTTCGTATTTTTTTTACTAAGGGCCTGTTTGGTTTGCGAAAAATATTTTAAGGGAAATGGAAATGGAATTGCAATTCTATGGAAAAGTAATTACTAGGAAGATGAATTTCATTGTTTGGTTGGTGGAAAACAAATTACTAGGAATACTAATTCCATTGTTTGGTTAGATTTGGAATTGTAAGGAATAATGAATATAAATACCTATATTTAATAAGAGTAATATAATTAAGAAAGAAAGTAAGAATAAAATAGTCAAATCATATCATTTTTGCTTCTCATCTTTCATAATTTTCCTCAAATTTGAAGAATTCATTTTCCATGAATCAAGCATAAAAAAAAACAACATTTTTCTCTATAAAAATTTTTTTTTCCATCCAACCAAACATCCCTTGAGTAAACAGGCGTTTGGTTGTAGAATAGTCCATTTAGTTGTGTTTCCAGAGAAATTCCTGACCAGTGAGGCAACTGTTATAAATATGGAAATTTCCAATTCACACATCTCAAATAGGTTTTTTTTTTTTTTTTTTTTTTTTTTTTTTTTAACATTAAAACTTCCTACATAAATGATAAATCTAACCCAAAACCAAGAACTCTTCTTGAACATTTATTAACACCATCTTTGTTTCAGCTAAAGAATTGCCGACATTTTCGTTGCACATGAATTGAAGTAAATGCACATGTTTTAATCTGACTCATTCATCAGCGATTTATTGAATTGGAGTAAATGTTTTTACTCAAGTTTTGTCGTGTAGGCACTTAATATATATCTTAACTTTCAACTTTTTGTTTTATTAAAAAAGAATTTTTTTTTTTTGAGACGGAGTAACTCCACTCATGTGTAATAATATACAGACCTCACAAGAAAAATAAATCATACAAGAGAAATAAATCGTACTAAAAAAATCTTGTGCGACAGACTTAACAAAAATCAACCATATTTGAATAATATAATAATATTTCTTTAAGGTCTCTCACTAATTACCAATAAATTTATTATAATAAATAAGCACACACAAACAATATATTCTATCAATGGACGTAAAACATCAAGACATTTTATTTTGTGACGAGAGAAACTCAAAACCACTACCCAAGAACGTGATCGAGTAAATTCCGCCTTGTGACCTTAACTAATAAAGAACTACAACAAGAAGGTAAACCAATCTAGGCTATCCATAGCTTAACAGCGTCAAGCCGTCAATAACTGGCTGGCTCAAACCAAGAAAATCAATAGGTTACTTGACCAATGGATGTGTACATATCTGTCTTACTTACTATTCATTGGTCAAACCAACTCTTTCTTTTTTGTTTATTTTCTTTAGTATTTTTTACTCATTTTTAAATTTGATTTTTTGTGTTTAATAGTACTTTTAGTGTAGTTTCTAAATATATAAATTTTGTATACTAACACTAAACTTAATATTATGAAAATTTGAATTAAAAATAACTTCAGTCAAGCCTTGTTCACCGAACCAGACACATAAAAGGGTTCGCTCGCCTAAATCGTCTAAGCGACCGCCGACCGGCCGTGTGGAAGAGACCAATTTTGGGCAATTTTTGCAATCATGATGTGATGTTAGAAAGTTTTTATTCTGCCATCAAAACTCAAATAGGTAAAAGAGTAAAGTTAGTAAACTATACATTTTACGCTTTCATTTTTTATTTTATTTATTTATCACATAAACTCGTAATTTTAATCCTTTCAAAAAAAAAAAAAAAAAACTCGTAATTTTAAATGATAAATGTATCCACTACATTCATTAAGAAACTAATGTAAAAGTAAATTAATTAGCTAAACAACCAATAGCCTACAACTTATTTAGTTAGCGAAAAATATTTAAAAAGGAATGAAATTGAAATTTTATGGATAAAAAATTACTGGAAAGATTGATTCTTTGGTATTATCTCGTAAATTTTAAAAAATAAAACACAAGTAATTGTAGCAAAAATGAAATCATATTTACGCAAAATGGTTGTCATGCATTGATAAGGGCAGGTAGTCAAGGTGTTTGTTCTTTTATCATAACTACATAATAATATTTATATAAGCATTTAGATAGTTTAGATGTACATCCATTCAAGGAGGTCTAACAAATTGAACACCAACACAACTACACTAGTCATGATCCAATTCTGCATTAACAACACACCTTTTAATAACTTACTCCATTCGTTTGCGTTTCTTAGCGAGATTCTCGAAAACCTGGTGAATGTCAGCAGAGGTAACCGCCTTTGATGGATCGAAGGACGCCTGTAGAAGAAATAGTGGACGAACAAGTATGAGTGTACGTACACACTACACACGCTCCTATTTAAGACGAACAAAGGTGTCATGTAAAAAGCATACCAGGTATGAGCTCAGCTCATTCTTAATGTCAGCTATGCCAGTCAAGATCTCGATTTTCTCGATGTGGCCAAGTTTGTTTAGGAACTCGGAGCTCTGCTGCTGCTCCAACTCCTCTCTTTTCTGCTTTGCCATTGCCTCGTACTCGGCAATTGTGTCCTC